AATATAATAACAAAAACATGAAAGAACAAACTTGTACAAATGTAAAATTCATATAAAAATTTAAAACCCAACTCCAGGAAAAAAAAATATATCCCTTGCAGTGGGGCTGTGCCAGTACTGCAAGAGTTAATTGCTCCTTCCCACAGCTAGACTGTTCTCCGCATCTTCTTGCTGTATTTGAGTTTTGATGGCATCAAGACCAGAGCAGGATCTATAGCCTTGCCTTGCTTTGGATATGGGGACACTGAGGGACAGGTTATGAACTGATCATGAGGGGGGGGGGGGGGGGGGGGGGGGGGGGAGTGCTGTCTGCTAGGTGAGCAAAGCAGGTCCACTTTAAGGAATGTTTTGTTTTTTTTCTGTCCAGAGTCGGACTTTAATTGTTTAATAATAGACTGCAGTATACAGTACATGTTCCCTTTTAATTACCAAAATTGGTCTGCATAGGGGGAAAATGAGCTGTCTTCTGACAGCTCTCAGTTAATTAGGCCTTTGGCACTACACAAGCAGAGCCTGCTGACAATATGCCTGGCTGATAATTCTGACAAAGGCATATATATACAGTGGGGATCGAAAGTTTGGGCACCCCAGCTAAAAATTTGTATTAATGTGCATAAAGAAGCCAAAGAAAGATGGAAAAATTTCAAAAAGGCATCAAATTACAGATTAGACATTTTTATAATATGTCAACAAAAGTTAGATTTTATTTCCATCATTTACACTTTCAAAATAACAGAAAACAAAAAAAATGGCGTCTGCAAAAGTTTGGGCACCCTGCAGAGTTAATATCTTGTACTGCCCCCTTTGGCAAGTATCACAGCTTGTAAACGCTTTTTGTAGCCAGCCAAGAGTCTTTCAATTCTTGTTTGAGGTATCTTTGCCCATTCTTCCTTACAAAAGTCTTCCAGTTCTTTGAGATTTCTGGGCTGTCTGTCACGCACTGCTCTTCTAAGGTCTATCCATAGATTTTCAATTATGTTGAGGTCAGGAGATTGTGAAGGCCCCCATGGCAAAACCTTCAGTTTACGCCTCTTGATGTAATCCCCCGTCGATTTCGAGGTGTGTTTAGGATCATTATCCATTTGTAGAAGCCATCCTCTCTTTAACTTCAGCTTTTTCACAGATGGCATCAAGTTGCCATCCAAAATTTGCTGAAATTTCACACTGTGTGTATGTGTGTGTGTGTGTGTGTGTGTGTATGTATATATATATATATATATATATATATATATATATATATACAGTCATGGCCGAAATTGTTGGCACCCTTGATATTTTTCCTGAAAATCAAGTATTTCACACAAAAAAGGTATTGCATTAACACATGTTTTGCTATACACATGTTTATTTCCCTTTGTATGTATTGGAACAAATATAAAACAGAGGCAGAAAAGCAAATATGACATAATGTCACACAAAACCCCCAAAAATGGGCTGGACAAAAGTATTGGCACCCTTAACTTAATATTTGGTTGCACACCCTTTGGAAAACATAACTGAAATCAGTCGCTTCCTATAACCATCAATAAGCTTCTGACACCTCTCACACCCGGAATTTTGGACCACTCTTCCTTTGCAAACAGCTCCAGGTCTCTCTTATTGGAAGGACACCTTTTCCCAACAGCAATTTTAAGATCTCTCCACAGGTGTTCAATGGGATTTAGATCTGGGCTCATTGCTGGCCACTTCAGAACTCTCCAGCGCTTCTTTGCCATCCATTTCTGAGTGCTTTTTGACGTATGTTTGGGGTCATTGTCCTGCTGGGAAGACCCAGGATCTTGGACGCAAACCCAGCTTTCTGACACTGGGCCCTACAGTGCGACCCAAAATCCTTTGGTAATCCTCAGATTTCATGATGCCTTGCACACAGTCAAGGCACCCAGTGCCAGAGGCAGCAAAACAACCCCAAAACATCATTGAACCTCCACCATATTTTACCGTAGGTACTGTGTTTTTGTTCTTTGTAGGCCTCATTTCCGTTTTCGGTAAACAGTAGAATGATGTGCTTTACCGAAAAGCTCTATCTTGGTCTCATCTGTCCACAAGACGTTTTCCCAGAAGGCTTTTGGCTTACTCAAGTACATTTTGGCAAACTGTAGTCTTGCTTTTTTATGTCTCTGTGTCAGCAGTGGGGTCCTCCTGGGTCTCCTGCCATAGCGTTTCATTTCATTTAAATGTCGACGGATAGTTCGCGCTGACACTGATGCTCCCTGAGCCTGCAGGACAGCTTGAATGTCTTTGGAACATGTTTGGGGCTGCTTATCCACCATCCGGACTATTCTGCGTTGCAATCTTTCATCAATTTTCCTCATCCGTCCACGACCAGGGAGATTAGCTACAGTGCCATGGGTTGCAAACTTCTTGATAATGTTGCGCACTGTGGACAAAGCAAATCTAGTTCTCTGGAGATGGACTTGTAACCTTGAGATTGTTGATATTTTGCCACAATTTTGGTTCTCAGGTCCTCAGACAGTTCTCGTCTCCTCTTTCTGTTGTCCATGCTTAGTGTGGCACAGACAGACACACAATGCAAAGGTTAAGTGAACGTCTCTCCTTTTTATCTGCTTTCAGGTGTGATTTCTATATTGCCCACACCTGTTACTTGCCCCAGGTGAGTTTACAGGAGCATCACATGCTTGTAACATTCTTATTTATCCGCAGTTGTGAAAGGGTGCCAATACTTTTGTCCAGCCCATTTTTGGAGGTTTGTGTGACATTATGTCGAATTTGCTTTCTTTCCTCCCTTTTTTTGTTTTGTCCCAATACACACAAAGGGAATAAACATGTGTATAGCAAAACATGTGTTAATGCAATACGTTTCGTGAGAAATACATGATTTTCAGGAAAAATATCAAGGGTGCCAACAATTTCGGCCATGACTGTATATATATATATATATACACATACACACAGAGAGAGAGAGAGAATATATATTTCCAGTCACTCAACAATTACATAGAAATTGTCTCCATGATTATAGTCCTAGTCATTCTTTAGCTCTGTAGAACTGGTTTCTAACTATGTTATCCCATACATTCAAGACATTTCTTAGAAAATGTTCATGCTGTTTGTGGTAGTTATATAACTGTACACCATTATATATCGCTGTACATTTCACCACTTGACCTCCAGAAGGTTTTACCACCTTCATGACCAGATCTTTTTTTGCTATTAACACTGCATTACTTTAACTGACAATTGCGCAGTTGCGCAACCCTGTACCCAAATGAAATTTATATAATTTTATCACACAAATAGATTTCTTTTGGTGTGGTAGTGTGTCTGGCAATGTGGCGTTAGCTGACGCTGGCTGAGAGGTTCACTAACTGACTGACACTGACATCAGTAGTGACACTACTACAGTGATCAGTGCTAATTCTGTACACTGTCACTGTATTAATGTAACTGACTGGGAAGGAGTTAATTTTTTAATTAATGTGAAATGTGTGTAATATGTGCTGTTTTTACTTTACTATATGGCTGTTCCCTGTTTTGTAAACACAGAACACTGTATGTGATTGGACACAGCCGATCAGCTGACTTCAGCCAAAATCATTGGCTGAAATCAGCTGCCAGACTGATGCTGTGCCAATCACAGCAGGGGTCAGCGGAGGCCTGCGTATGCGCACCCCAAACCCAGAAGACGACCAACCACATACATATACGTGATCATGTCTGCACCCTGCCGCCCACTTGCAGTATATTTACTGTGAGCAAGTCAGCAGGTGGTTAATGCAGAATTAAACCCACAGATTCAACTATTTCCCAAATTATTAGATTCAAGGCATGCCTCTGGTGATAACTGCACCAACAGCCAGAGTGCTTAAGTGAACGCTCAAACCCTCAAATGACTGGTATCCCAGCTGATCACATATGGATAACCATGGCACTTTCTGAGCTAAACAGAGGCTAAGGTGGCACTTTCCTTTGACTGTAAAGAATAAAAAGGTTTAGTTTCACATTAATTAACCACTTTGCCGTATAGCAGAAATACAACTAGAGGGCGGCACGGGTGTGCAAAATCAAGTATAGATACAGGATTTTGTATTTCTGAGTAGGGGGCGTGTGCCCTACACGCGCCGCAATTTGCGGCCGCGGCTGTCAATCACTGGGTCCCGGCCGGTGATTTCTGACAATCTCCGACTGGGAGGGACTGGGACTGAAACAAAATTGTTTTGTTTATGAACAGTTCTCCCTGTCAGCTCGGGCACATTGTTTTGGATGGCTGTGCACAGCACAGCCATCCAAAGCAGTGTGATTACAGTGAAGCAAACAGACACCGCCCCCTAGTAAAACACTCCCTGCACACAGTTAACCGTTTGATCTCCCCTGATGTTAACCCTTTCCTGCCCAGTGCCATTAGTACAGTGTCAGCGCGCTTTTTTTTTTTTTTTAGCACTGATCACTATATTGGTGTCACTGGGGATTTCAGTGACACCAAGTCAGTTCCTCCCAGGGTCAGAATGTCTGCCGCAGTCCCACTATAAGTCGCTGATTGTCGCCATTACTAGTAAAAATTAAAAAATCAATCCCAGTATATATACTGCCATTTGTAAACGCTATACCTTTCACAGAAAACCAATTAATTTACACGTATTTGGATTTTTTTTATTTAGCAAAGACATGTTGCAGAATACATTTTGGCGTAAATTTATGACGAAATTTGATTTTAACATTTTTTTACTGGACACGTTTAATAGCAAAAAGTCAAAAATAATGTTTTTTTTCTCAAAAGCGTCAGTCTTTTATAGCCCCGAAAATAAAAAGACGCACAGGCGATCAAATACCACTGAAAGCACAATTTGTGGGAAAAAAACATTTAAATTTCATTTGGTGCAGCATTGCATGACTGCGCAATTGTCAGTTAAAGTAACGCAGCGCCGTAACGCAAAGAATTGCCTGGTCAAGAAGGCGGGTAAATCCTCAGGAGGGCAAATGGTTAATGAAGCACTTCAATGAAATATTTGCTGACTGGTTACAATTTTTCTTCTTTGTTACAGGGGGTTTCTGCATTGGCTCAAGTAGTTTCTGTGAAACTCTTCAATTCTTGCACAAATCCCATGGAAAAAATCAACTCATACCTTCCACCAGAAATCCGCGTACTAGGTAAACATCAAAGCACCCATCTAGAATACTGAAACACATTATTTTAGTAGAAAACACCAACTGTATTGATTTAGATCCAGTGCCCACGTGTTGTGTTTTGTTCCTGGAGCCTGATGTCAGTCTACTATTATTCTGGCACCAAAATGCTAAATATTGCACAGCTTGTGGTTCGGGGCTCTAACTGAGGTCACAAAGGTTGTAGAGTCCTGGCTTGGCCATAACTTTTGTTGAAATCAGGACAATAGGACATTTGACATTTAGACTCCACAAACAGACAGCGACACACCACACTTAGGTCTAGGCCTGGTTATAGCATCATTTTTCTTTGAATGCTTTGGGCCTTCTAATTTACAAACAGCAAAGTCAGTTAGAAGGTCAGTATTGAGACCAGCTCTCTCCCATGACCACTGATAGGCCCATTCATGTGATAGACATTCTCACTGACCAATACGAAGGTAAGAGAGGTCAAACCTAGACTTCCTAGTTGAAATCAGTATTTGTATATTAAAGAGACTTGGTTTGAGTGCTCCACAGGTGCTGTTAAAGAAAACCAACACTTCTGAGCAAAGTTGTATGATATCTATAACTAGTTCCATTATTATATTTTTTTATGTTATAACATAAAAAAATATAATAATTGAACTAGTTACAAATATCATACAACTTTGCTCAGAAGTGTTGGTTCTGAACTTTGCTCAAAAGTAATGGCCTGCCTTAGTCCAGGTTTAACACATAACTTTAATTTTGCTCCAGCAGGATCTCTCTGTGTTAATAGCCCTGCACTGCACATAAGGGGAGGGACCATCCATAGTATGAGGCTTCAGGCAGACGAGAACAGTGCTGGAGCGAGGGATAGCGCAAGCAATACAGCTCATGTCTGCACCCCTAGACTACACAAGCATTTTACCCTGCCACCCTGCTTATAATGCTGGCACAGTGTAAATTAGAGCCACTGCCGTGAATTCTGGGTACAAACCTATGGCATCCCAATGATCACCACTCAACCAAACAAGAAAATCAATAACACTTATTTGGACTCTTGCACAAATATTTAAGCAAATTAACTATCTATACTGTCCACAATAACTGCCCTGCTTCCCCACAAGCGACAAGCTGGCAAAAAAAACTTAAAAACGCATAAAAAACATGCATACAAAAACATAAAAAACGCACTGCAAAAAGGACAAAAGCAAATTGCACTGGTGTGAAACAGACCTGAAATGGATTGAAAATGCACACATTTTCTTTTTAATACGTTTTGCATTTTTAACCTCCCCAGCAACAAGTTGGCCTAAAAAAATACATTATCCCTTGGTGTAAGGGAAGGCCCCCACTGTAAGAGTAAATTTTGCCTAATTCTTTGAGTTCAGCTTTAAGGCCATGTTTAGGGTCCATTTACAAATAGGTGTGTTAACCTGAGTTAGGCCTCATGCCTACTTGAGATCAAAAGCATCTATTTTACAGGCATATGACTGTGTTTTTTTTTCCCCTTTTTCTAAACACCCCTCCATGCTAACCTATGTGTCCATCCACAAACAGGCATTTACAGGTATAACAAAATAAAAAAATCACTTGCATTCAGGAGTGCTTTGGTTGAAAAAATGCTTAACATTCCTAAGCAGTAGGTGCATATAGCACTTGAGCATCTTTTTTTTTTTTCATTAAATTTATATAAATTTAGCATAAATTTATATTCTGGCCAATGAAATAAACGCCCAAGTGCTTGACGCGCCTAAACACATCTGAAAAACACGGCTTAGGCTACCAAGTGTGCCTCAGTGTGCATGAAACTTTAATGTGTGTTGTGTTAAGGCAACATATTAATTTAAATGGACTGCGTAGTGTACCAAAATGCACAAAAAAGGTACATGCACCATTTTTAGCAACACAGCATGCTACAATGCATGGTAACCCTCGCAATACTGGAACACAATGTGAATCCAGCCTCAATGTCCCAGTCTACTGATTGCACTTCTGTTACAAAAGTAATATATGCTTTAAACTACGGGTCTCCAAACTTTCTAAATAAAGAGCCAGTTTTCTGTCCTCCAGACTTTAAGGGGGCCAGACTGTGGCCATTGGGAGTAGAAAATGTTCTGGCTTCACTAGGAGCAAACATTTTTAAAAATGGCATACACATATACTCCTGCGCTTGGGGGATGGACTCCGCAGAGGCTACAACCGCATATCGAATGCCTTGAAGAGTGCATGCCTTGCTGCCCTTAATAGACCAAGGGAGTCCAAATACACTGCATGCAAAGAAAACAAACCAAGGGCGCACAGGCCTAGTGTATTACGTTTAAAAAAACATTTATTGATAAAAAAAGAAGAGGTAATATACTCACAAAAGACAATATTGTCAAAGGCACATCATCTAAAGAACAGCATTGTCCAGTCCAAACTGGGAGGAACTGTGCCCCATTGTTGGTGTTATTGGAAGGAATTGTGTCCCATCATTGCTGTCATTGGAAGGAATTGTGCCCCATTGTTGGTGTCAGTGGATGAAATATTTCCCCCAAAGGACCAGATAAAAGCAAGTGAAGGACCACATCCGGCCCCCAGGCCACTGTTTGGAGACCACTATTTTAAACAATACAGGGACAATTATAGAAAATACTTCAGGATTGAAGAAAAATTGAGAGTTCAGAGTACAGTAGATGAACTGAAGACTAATGAGATGTTTTGCTGGGACATAACAAAGGAGTATCTCAGCAGAATATGGTCAATATAAAACTTGGACACACTACATTTTGTCAGTGTTATATTACAGATATTCTAAAAGCAGAATTGGTGGATTGGATGGAAAATACCTGACATTACAGGCTACCATAGCCCTTTATTATATAGAAGGACTGTATTGCTAAGCCCAAACACTGGGTTGTCCACTGTGAGCAATGATACAGAAGAAATGTCCAGTTCTAAATAGTTTGGTCCCAAGGTCATTCTTCTGAAAGTTGACCCAATATGTTTAATTAACTGCTCCTGTTAACGGGCTAAAAAGTTGAAGTGACTGCCTGGAACAGGGGTCCTCAAACGTTTAAACAGTGGACCAGTTCACTGACCTTCACACTGTTGGAGGGGCCGCAATATAGTTTGAGACAAATAAACAAATTCCTATGCACACCGTATGTCTTATTTGTAGTGCACAAAAAAAACGGAAAAAACAATACAATATTAAAAATGCACTGTACTCTGTAACACACTGGACACCGCAATGCACTGTACTCTGTAACACATTGGACACCGCAATGCACTGTACTCTGTAACACATTGGACACCGCAATGCACTGTACTCTGTAACACATTGGACACCGCAATGCACTGTACTCTGTAACACATTGGACACCGCAATGCACTGTACTCTGTAACACATTGGACACCGCAATGCACTGTACTCTGTAACCCACTGGACACCGCAATGCACTGTACTCTGTAACACATTGGACACCGCAATGCACTGTACTCTGTAACCCACTGGACACCGCAATGCACTGTACTCTGTAACACATTGGACACCGCAATGCACTGTACTCTGTAACCCACTGGACACCGCAATGCACTGTACTCTGTAACACATTGGACACCGCAATGCACTGTACTCTGTAACCCACTGGACACCTCAATGCATTGTACTCTGTAACCCACTGGACACCGCAATGCACTGTACTCTGTAACCCACTGGACACTTCAATGCACTGTACTCTGTAACCCCCTGGACACTTCAATGCACTGTACTCTGTAACACACTGGACACCGCAATGCACTGTACTCTGTAACACACTGGACACCTCAATGCATTGTACTCTGTAACCCACTGGACACCGCAATGCACTGTACACTGTAACACACTGGACACCGCAATGCACTGTACTCTGTAACACACTGGACACCTCAATGCACTGTACTCTGTAACACACTGGACACCTCAATGCACTGTACTCTGTAACCCACTGGACACTGCAGTGCCCTGTACCTGATGCCCGGTGTGCTCTCCTGTTGCTACTCTGGCTGCAGCAAGTGAAATCAGTGGCTTCCAGGCTACCATTTGCTGTGTCTGTCCTCGCGGCCGAGGACCCAGTGAGCAGCCTAGCTATTTTCCAGCCAGCACCGTTTTTTTTTTTTTTTTTTTTTCTTTTGTTTTTTTTTTATTTTGGGCTGGCCCAGCGGGCCAGATAAATGTCTTTGGCGGGCCTTAGTTTGAGAACCCCTGGCCTAGAAGAAAGGGTGGGAGGGCTGGTTCCATTGTCAGTGGATTTTGTAATATAAGGAGTATGCAAGCCGGAAAGGGACAAAGTAAATTCAACTATCAAGAATGCCTTCCGTTTTCCTCAGGACAGGAGCTGATGGTAAATCTTATCAATAGGGCTAACACAGCATTAAAAATCAAATGAAGTTTTGGATAGAGTCCCACTTTAGTCTTACATCCCAAGACAAATCTTAAGCTTTTTTATCCTTTTTTTTATCCTTTTGATATATGCCATAATTTACAGAATATCTTAAATAGGGGTATATTTATAAAGTAATCCACGGAGCTTATTGTTCCCCTGGAACTGCATGTACAATCAATCTGTGCGAATCAGGGCAAAATCAAATGTGTTTAGGCTTTTTTCTGTACAGGTCTATGTTTTTCATTCATACAGAAGAGCGAATCAGAAAATTGCAGCATTATTGCCACTTGATGGAGCTTAAAGTATTATTATATACCCGCTCTTAGGGCCAATTATATGTGAATGAACCTCCCTACCACTGTCTGCAGCTCTAATAGGGTACTGTACATTTAAATTGCAAGTGCTGTCTAGTATGTGCAAGATTTGTCACAATCCCAAAGTGCAAATAATGAACAATGAAGAGCAATAAATAACATTAAAACATTAAAATGAATATCAAAGTGAATATATATAAAATTAAAACAATGTATAGCTCCTTAAATTAGTACATATATTTGTGAAAAACAACCGTGCGTTCTGACATGATGCCAAGTGTTACTCCTTTAGTTAAAGTGCACTCACCAGAGGATGTGGACTCTTCAATTGAAATAAGAGTCATATGCGTTGTTTAATGATCCTGGTTGTTCTGGAGCTTGTAGTCTGGATGTGAAAGGACATGCTGTCTGTACTGTGGAAGATCAGTCTGGAGTAACGTGAGAAAGGAGGTGGGTGGATACTCTCCCAAGTGTGCTGTGATGGAGAGCTCTGAAATATGTAGTTATTGACATCATGGGGTTTATTTACTAAACCTGGAGAGTGCAGAGTCAGGCTCACTTCTGCATAGAAACCAATCAGCTTCCAGGTTTCATTGCCAAAGCTTAATTGAACAAGCTGAGGTTAGAAGCTGATTGGTTTCTATGCAAAAGTGAGCCTGACTTTGCACTCTCCAGGTTTAGTAAATAAACCCCCATGAGTTAAATCCATTTTGGCATGGTACACTGGTGTGGGAAATCGAATACAGCCATCAAGAAGGACTACAAACTCTAGACCAACCAGGATCATTACCAACCCTTCCATGTGCTCCTTGCAAAGGCCAGTTATAGGTTGGGGTGGTTTTCTATTTGTTTGTACTGTTGGTGAATTGGTGAGGGGATCCACTGGATACCTTCGCTGCCATTGTGCTATTGCTGGAGGTCCTTTAAGGGCAGGTATTCCTGGAGGGAACCCACCCCTCAATGTACCCATAATTATTTATGTGCTCCAACTCAGGAGACTTTCAAAATGTATAGAGTTAGCACTGCAGTACACTGGTGTGCTGTGATGTGGCCACTGCAGCTTACACATATATTTGCAAATGTGTGCAAACCAAACCCCTTAGTTTTATCGTGGACTGTTAGACAGGGTTAATTTGGTTGGTTGCAGGCTGGCTGGTAAGTGAGCTGGGAATCTTTGTTGACATGTGGTGCCCTTCCAAGTGCTCCTTGCTGCATAGACCAGTTATAGGTTGGGGAGGTTGCCATTTGCTTGTGCAATAACACTGCATTTTTCTGATTCAATAATCTGTAAGAATGAAAACCAGGGAGAGAAAATAGCCTAAAAACATTTGATTTTGCTCCCATTCATACAGAATGAATGCATATGCATCATCACAATATAAACAGCTCTGCATTTTTTTTTTACATATATATATATATATATATATATATATATATACACCCTTTAGTATTTCATCCACATATATTTATACTATAAATTGTAAAGCTGAATTGATGAGAAATAAGTATACAATACATACTTGTTCAAGTAATGAGTATTTTTCATGGCATGTATATCTTACCATTTCCCATGCTGACTATTTATTTTTCTTGATCAGGCATAAAGCGAGGGACTAAACGATTCAATTCCAAGAAAATGTGCAATGCTCGGACGTATTCTTACACATTGCCTACATTTGCACTGTCAAGAAGTGGTGGCGTTTCTCCTGACTCCAGCTTCCGATTGCCTCGAGAAGACTTCCATGTGATTAATAGGCTTCTCTCATTCTATAAAGGAACACGCAACTTCCACAACTTCACAAATTCTAAATTGGCTACTGACAAGAGTGCACATAGGCACATAATGGATATCTGTTGCTCGGAGCCATTTGTTCATCATGGTGTGGAATTCACACGCATCCTGGTAAAGGGAAATAGCTTCATGCTGCACCAGATTCGCAAAATGGTTTGTCTTGTCATTGCGGTGGCACGAGGCATGGTCTCTCCTGACCTCCTCATTCATTCTGTGCAGATGGACAAGGTCAACATTCCTCGAGCTCCAGGGTTGGGCTTGGTCCTGGAATTTACACACTTTGACTACTACAATCAGTATTGCATTGACCGCACATTACATGAGCCGATAACTTGGGAAGAGTTTTCACCTGCTAGGGAAGCCTTCAGGGATGAGAAGATTATGCCGGCCATTATTGAAGGAGAATTAAAAGAGCTTTCTATGTGTCACTGGTTGCAAACATTTAGCATGCATAATTTTATGAACGTTAAAGAGAACCATAAAGTAGTGTGATCCACAGACTAATCAGAATGGAAACTTTGTAATGTGTGGAAGGTTTCTTTTTATATTAAAAACAAACTCCACTCCTTTTTAATGTTTTTGATTTTACTGTGGATGTTTGTGTGCTGATGGTACTTGGAAAGAGCTTATTTACATTTTAAATGAGCATATTTAATGTGCATTTTAAATGTGTTTAAAGTGTGTCTGAGGACACCACAGGTCAAGAGTTTACAACCAGAACATTTTTGTAAGTTTCCAATTTGTAATGCACATGAACATGCACATTAACATACTTTTATGCATATTTTAGTAATCTTTGACATACACTGCCACAGGCGGCCATCTCCAGTATTTTCTCAAAATAGCAGGCATAAAATAGAGAATGCTGATAAATATTTAACTGCAGCTTTATACATTAAAAAACACAAATGTCAGGCAAAGTTCCCTGATATGAATGGGGCTTTAAAGAATGACTCCATGCAAAGCTTTTTCAAGCTTGTGATAAAGGGGAATGACGACAACCTTTTTGTTATTGTTGGTGTCCTCATTGCTGGGGAGATTTCCATCTCAGTGTTACATGCACTGAAAGTAAAGCCAAATTGGAAACAGTAGTAACAGCTGGACAGATTCTAAGCAGCCTTCTGCTTTTCTTTAATTATTATTTTAAATTAAATAGCGCCAACAGTTTGTGCAGTGCTTCACAACATAAGGGCAGACAGTACAATTCAATGCAGGAGGAATCAGAGGGCCCTGCTTGTTAGGCTTACAATCTAAAAGGGAGGGTCGAGTGATAGAAAAGGTAATAACAGTGGGGTATGAGCTGATGGAGAAAATGGAAACACAGTTGTTAGGTGGAGATGGGACAGGCTTCTCTTAAGAGAAGGGTTTTTTAGGGGTCACCTAAAAGTGGACAGATTGGGGTAGGGAGTTCCATAGGATAGGGGAGGCTTGGGAAAAGTCCTGGAGACTAGCATGAGAGGAGGGTGACAAGGGAGTCACAGAGCAGGAGGTTTTTGGAGAAAAAAAGGAATGATTTGGTTGGCATTTTGAGACTAGGTTAGCGATGTAGATGGGGGCCGAGTTGTGAATGGCTTTGCAAGTTGTTAGTATTTTAAATTTAATTTGTTGGGTGAGTGGCAGCCAATGAAGAGATTGGCTGAGAGGGCTAGCAGACACTGAGCAGTTGGAAAGGTGGCGGAGTCTGGCAGCAGCATTCTTGATCTTGAACTGAAGGGGAATAGCTGTATTAGTTTGAGTTTTAATTGTGCTGTTTGCCCGTATGTTGTAAAGCGCAGCATAAACTGTTGGCAGTATACAGTTAGGTCCATATATATTTGGACACAGGCACAATTTTAGTTGCTTTCAGGTATTTACCAAAACATATTCTAGCTATAGTTATATAATGGATATGGGCTGAAAGTGCACACACGCAGGTTTAATTTGAGGGTATGTACATCCAAATTGGAGGAAGGGTTTAGGAGTAGCCATCCCCCCTTTTTTCAAGGGACCAAAAGTAATTGGGCAATTGAATTAAAAGCTGTTTCATGGCCAGGTGTGGGCTACTTCTTTATTTCTTAATCAATTAAGCAGGTAGAAGGTTTGGAGTCGATTCTAAGTGTGGTATTTGCATTTGGAATCTATTGCTGTGAACTTACATTATGCGTTCAAAGGAGCTGTCCATGCAAGTGAAACAGGCCATTGTAAGGCTTCAAAAATGAAACAATCCCTCCACTGCCTGGATATTGTACATGCTGTGACAGTCTACCTCTCGACTAGTCTCCTTTAGTCAGTCGTATTCCATTTTTGTCCTTCCTGAGGCTTCCTGCACGGAGCTCTCTGCCTCTTGCTCCACCATGAAGGATAAGGTTCCTTCTTTCCTCTCTATCAGATCCATTAGTGTTTTATGGGCTTTTCAGCAGCTGGCACTTGTTTCTCAGATTTGCAAGACTGTCAATGGTTCCTCTATTCACACATTTGTCTTATCAGGTGAATGTTCAGTCCTCCTCTGCTGCCAGTTGCAGACGAAAAGGTGCTTCAAGTTGTTCTCTGAGCTCTGGCAAGCCTTTCCTTACCCTGTTATGTGGGCCTATTAGCAAAGCCTGTTGCTGTGTTGCCCACCCCTCAACTGGACTGCTTTGGTACGTCCCATGATTTTCAGTAGAGATCCTGAATACAGTACAATTAATTTGGAACTAAACTCGCTAAATCAACATTAACTATTTTTAATCTTTATGCTACAAGCCATAGTAGATAGATCGGAAGGTATATTATATTTACTGCTGTGTGTATATATATATATATTTTTTTTTTCTTTTTTTACATTTTTTCAGTTTTTTCCTGGTTTCTGGCCTAGGCCAAAATGTCATACATTCCAGGAGTCTTCATAGTCTATTTTTTTTTCTTTCATTGGGAGTAGGGACTTTCTTGGTTAAGCATACCCTCCTGCCTGCATGTCTGAGCTAAGAGCAGAAGGATTCCAGAAGGTAAATGCTACGTGAATCATCTGCCCTTACTCAAGATGGCCATGGCTAGGAATGCTAGGGGGGTATTTTTCAAGGTGATTTCTCAACAAAATAAAGCATGGAGACATGGATGGATAGGAGATTTGGCTTTAAATATTACAAATGAATAAAGTAGCATTTTCAGTTTGTGGTGTGGTGCTGAGATACAGTTTAGTTCTGCTGTAAAAACATTTTTTTCTTTTACTGACCTGTAAAATCCTTTTCTTGGCATACAGTATAGGACACGGGTTTTTGTTTTTTGTTTTTTTTTTAAGCGGATTGGATCAGCTTGCAGTTAGTTGGGTGTAAATGGATTTATGTCCCTCCATAGAGGTGAATGGAGGGTCCAATCGGGTCCACCTGAAAAACTGACAGGCAAACCTCATCAGACCGATTATGAAGATGGGGCTGTTTAGACTTTTTTTTTTTTTTTTTTTTTTTACAGTGTCCAATCACCTGTAGACAGCTGCCTATAATCCATGGTAATAACTAGAGACCCTGTGTTCTGTACTGTACTCCAAATACTGAAGTGAAAAATCTAATTTTTGTTTTTGCATGCCAGTAGATTGTGTAATCTTTGGTGGTAAGAAGAACTGGTTTATACCACCTATAAAAGTGTATCTCAACCTGGACAAGCTTCAAAAAAGGCTTTCAGAAGAAGAGTTCTAAATGTGAACTTGTAGGTAACTACCTTTTTAAAGCGGTCACAAAGTAAGCTCATATCTTAATCTTAATAAATAATAAATAAGCTCATATCTTAAAAGAGAAGTAGGGCTTTTTTTTTTTTCCTTATTTATACTTATCTAGGTGGATGCAGCATCAGTCCGGTGCTGCATCTGTTCCCCATTGGCTCTAAGGGTGAGAACCTGTTCACATGACCGCTGATTGCTGAGTTCTCCTCTCCGCTCTGAGCAGAGAGCGGTGACTGTTGGTCACCGCTCTCTGCTCTGCCCCCACCCAGCACTTACTGGAGTGCTGGGCTGGGCTGTGGAGGGGGGAAGAAGTGGCTGGTTCAAGCTCTCAGCACTTCGCTAAGAGGCTGAACCAGGTGCTGCTCCAGACTCTGGGGTGGATCCCAACTTTAAAGTCGGGATCTTTCCCCAGCCTGGACCAGCTGAGTGATGTCAGCCAACAGAAGGCTTCGGCCCACTGTCAAATGTAAACAGATCACAGGAGTGCAGAACGAACTGCACTCCTGTGTGTACTTCTCCTTTAAGGTTATCTTCAGAACAGATGGCTGGCTGTGGGTGCAGGAATCGCACTGTGCCCACACCCGAAGCCAAATTGCCCTGCTCTTATGAGACACATGGGATTACCATTCATTCTGAATAGCACCCCACGCATCTCAATTCACAGCATGATTGCGGATGTGGGAATTACAGGGAAATCACATGGTCAAAAAGTCCATGCGGTTTCCCTCTGGCTGCATTTTTAAAAAGGTGCAAACATGGCAGCCCATGCAAACGCGGCCTGCACAAGTGTGAACCAGGGCTCAGAGTAGTTCTAAAGTCAACACGTGTTTAACCCTAATTCTATGCATTAGCCCGAGTTCACACTGATGCAGTGCGGATTTCGCAGTGTTTTCTGTGTGAATTCCACACCGCATCAGAATCGCACCCCATTCATGCGAACCGCGGCGGGTGTGTATGTTAACAACACCCCGAAAGTGGTCCGCAAAACACGGTGCAATGTGCAGAATCGGATCGCATACAGTAAGTGTGAATACCCATGCGATCCGATTCTAGTGCGGACCCAAAAAAGGGTCCTGCATGTTTCTGGTGCAGGTGTGGTGCGATTTATAGCCATACAAAATGTATGGCTCCAATCACACCGCACACAAATCGCATGTGATTTGCACAAGAATACGGTTCCTGTGCAAATCACATGCAATGTACCGCACCGCATATATGTGAACCTGGGCTCAAGGTGAAAAACCTTTCAGTGGCTGTTGCCTGCCCACTCCTTCAAATACGTACCTGAGTCCTGTATAAATCCAGCGCTGTGCCCACCTGCAGGTCTTCTCTGCCTCTCTTCTGGTCTCGCAGGCTTAGCCAAGAACAGGGGGAGTCATTGGCTCCTGCTGTTGTCTTTCAAATCCTGTGAGGAGGGGTGAGACCAAGCCACGCTGTGTGTGTCTATAGATGCACACAACCCTCACGTGCCACCATAGGAAGCTGCTTCCTATGGTGGCACACAGAGAAAAAGAGGAGCCTAGAACTCTGGCAGGGGACCCCAGAAGACGAGGATTGGGGCAGTTCTGTGTTTTACCATCGCACAGAGCAGGTATGTATAAAATGTTTATTATTTTGTCTAAAAAATAATTGTCTTTACAACTTGTTTAAATACATATCCATACATATGCATGTTGATGCTTTGTAGTGAGTTTTTATGGTATTCTGCTCTCCATTTTAAAAACTAAAACTAGCCAGTATATAAATATCACAAAAGATATTTGGTGAAAGGATTATATGAAAAGATACTGTGCTATTCAAACTTTCCCAAAATGGACAATACGCATTGTGCGGGCCTAAGTACTGTGATGTCAGCATACAGAGCACTGTTAGGGCTCATTTACACTTTTCTACACTGTCTTTGAAAAACGATCTGTAGTGGATCTCTTTTCAAAAAGTGGCTTGCGGTTGCAGTGTGGCCCCATTAACTTACTGTAAATAAGTCACATTTGGTTGCAGTACTGACTATTGAATACAAGGGTGGGGGAGGGATTTTTTACCATGCTGCTGTGCTACATTTGTATACCCCCATATGGCTGCCTTTGCAACTTAAAGTGGAACTTCACTCTCTCAATCAGCACTGATTATTTTTAATCCTTATGCTGCTAGCATTGGCAAATAGATGGGAAAGTATATCATATTTACTTGCATGAAACTTTTTTAGATTTCTTCAGTTACTTACTGGTTTTCATACCTAGGCAAGTGAAGTCATACATCCCAGGAGGGGAGGGAGGGTTCTAAGCTCAGCCAGTGCCTGATCTAAGGGCAGATAGATTCCAGGAAGTAAATGATACATGAATCATCTGCCCTTATTTAAGATGGCCACTGCCAGAAATACCTGGGGGTGTTTTTCAAAATGAATTCTCAGAAAAATAAATCATGGAGACGTGGATGGATGGGTGAGTTTGCTTTGAATATTAACAATTAATTAAATGGTGTTTTTTGGTTTGTGGTGCTCAGATGCAGGGAAAACCCACTTTAAAGTGCAACTATATTCACATTCACTCTAGTGCTCCCAGAGCTCCCTCACTGACTGTTGCCATCTTCGGTTGGACTTCTTCCAAGTTCTGGTCTTTAGCCATTTTGATTGGTCTGGCTGAGATGAGATTGGTGATGGGCTGAACACCCCCTTGTTTGGTTCGTGGTCGAACATTCAAACCTAATGAAAGTTTGGCTGCAAACTTCGAACAGAGACAAGTCACTAAGTGGTATCTTACCACATCTGAGTATGCAGTAAGATAGCGCACAGCTACTAAAATACTTTTTAGTGATGAAGACATCTTTAATGTGTCAGCTGTCAGCGGGGTTCCCCACTGATAACTGCATGGAAATAGAATTGCCGGTATTGCCTGTCAATTAAACTTTTTTCTAAAAAAAACGGTGTGGGGTCCCCTCCCCATCCATACCAAGCCCTTTGGGTCTGGTATGGATTTTGAGGAGAACTCCCCACGCCAAAATAAAAAAAAATAGCATGGGAGCTCCCCCCCCCCCAAAATACATACCAGAACCTTATCCAAGCATGCAGCTCAGCAGGTCAGGAATGGGGGAGGGGAAATTAACTGTACCAGGCCACATGCCCTCAACGTGGGGGGGTTGCTTTGGGGGCAGGGGGGCTCCCCCCACCCCAAAACACCTTGTCCCCATGTTGATGGGGACAAGGGCTTTCCTCCCACAACCTTGGCCGGTGGTTGTGGGAGTGTGCGGGCGGGGGACTTATTGGAATCTGGAAGCCCCCTTTAACAAGGAGGCCTCCCAGATCCAAGCCCCCCCCTTATGTAAATGAGTATGGGGTACATGGCACTGCTACCCATTCACAAAAAAGAGTGTAGTGTAAAAAAAAAATTACAGTACACAGTCTTTAACATGTCCTTTATTAAAAACAAAAAATTGTCCCCTGCAGTAGATCCAATGTCAATCATGATGCCCACCACTGACCTGAAAAAAGAAAAAAAAATGCTCCACTCTCGACATTGCCTCCTGCCGTCTGACAGCTGCGCCGGGATGACAGTTCTTAAATAGAGTGATGGTGTCACAAGGGGAAGGAGTCACTCCTGCCACCTTGTGACGTCATCATGCGCTCTGACTGGCCAGAGCATTTCACCTGACCTATTGTCACAATTGTGTACAATGCACTGCTCGCTGAACACACAAACGGTCGATGTTCGACTCGAACATCAAGCCCATCCCTAGATGACATCACTCCCATGCATGTGCAGTAGTTCATTCATCTGAGCAGATGCCAAATCATAAACTCAGTTGTACAGTTCAGACAGACAGGTAAGAAACGTTCATGCAAAGGCATATTATGTCTAGTAAACAGTGGCAGCTGATCCAAGCTTTTACTGCCCACCTACAAGCGGACATGGTGCTGCCCGAAGCAGTACTTATTGAAGCAGCAGTGATGCTTTGCAATCTAAACACTACATGAAGAGTTTGACGGGCAGCTCCATCTGTCAAGCTCTCCAATACAAATAAATGGGGCCATGCCACAAGTATGAGACAAATGCTTGGTTCACAGTTCCAGCACAGTCCTGCACTGCAAAGTTGCTGTTCATCAATTTAAAAAAAAGAAACATCAATAAACAATTAGAAACTGGCATCAGCATGTGGCAGTACCACCTACTGAACACCAGCTAACCGCTTTTCTCTGGCTTCTGAAAAGTGATCCAATGCAGATCCCCTTTCAGGACATGGTAAACAATACCCTTACTACAGAGGGATCCTGAGGCCTCGTTCACATGGGCGTACTATAGGGAATGTTGGTGGGAGGGCCGTGCGGTTTGCCCTTATGGGCAGAGTCATCCCTAGGGTTGGTGTCACCCGGTGCGATAACACTTGATGAAACCCCCTCCGATGATCCCCACAACATGGATCGGATCTGCTGATTGACCATAATGGATCGGAGTCCGATCCATTACCCTCCCCAATCCACAGATCCGATCCATCCTGTGGAGATCGTTGGCATGCAACCTATACAGGGTGACACTGGACCCGCTCCTCAAAAAGGTAAGTTGTAAAGCAAGCCGACGATCCTCGCAGGATGGATCAGAGCTGCAGATTGAGCATAATGGATCGGTCTCCAATCCATTATGCTCAATCAGATCCGATCCATCCTGCGGGGATCGTCGGCTTGATTTACAATTTACCTTTTCGTGGAGCGGGTCCAGTGTCACCCTGTATAGGTTGCATGCCAACGATCCCTGCAGGATGGATCAGAGCTGCGGATTGGGGAGGGTAATGGATCTGATCCATTCTGCGGGGATCATTGGCTTGATTTACAATTTACCTTTTCGTGGAGCGGGTCCAGTATCACCCCTTGCAGTCGGTGTCACCCGGTGCGGTGCGTACCCCTGCACCTGCCTAACGACACCACTGCTTATGGAGATGCACTGGTGTTCCGTGCAGTGCCAGATTTATAAGGGGGCAAAAGGGGCAGCTGCCCTGGGCCCCCCTACATACAGCAGAAAATATATAAAAAGATTAAATAACAAAATAATATAAAAGGTTTATTAAAAATGACTTTCTTTTAATAAATGTATCTTGGGATGTAATATTACACTAATAATAATTCTTCATAGTACGGCGATGTGAACAATAGTGTATGGCCAGCCGCACTGTGCTGTGAATGACCGGAATGAGGGATCAGGCAAATCTGGAGGGTGGGGGGCAGTATGATGGGGACATAATGGAGGGAAAGTAAGTGTACAATCCAAACACACATGTTAGAAATGGCTGTGTGTATAAGTGGGTGCTGCAGCGACCGTCGGCTGGAACTGAACAGAATCAGCGAGGGAGAATGTCACCAGCACACCGAGGATCACCAATATGGGTCCAAACGTTTTAATGAACGATCACATAGTTACCGCAAGGCAACGTTTCGGAGTCTCGCAGGACCCCATCATCAGGCATGTGACCAATGGAGGGATAGACTCTCCAGCACGTAATCACATCGAAAGCCAAAATGTATTGGTGTTCTACACTGCTGGAATTTGTTGGTCGCCCATTGGATGGTGTATGGACTTGCGGCTGAATTCTGATTATTTTCTGAGTTTGCACTACATACAGACTGGGATTGGTCATGGACTCTTGAGGTGTTTGCCCTCTGTAAGGTATTGATGATCTGTATTCTGGGACGACATTGTGGGGAGCACTCTTCCTATCAGGATTGTGTAGGATGTCTGGGCAGTAATGACACATCAGACCAGAACACACGATGTGGGTCTGTATACTGGGCTGGTCCATCCAGGGACAGGTCATCGGGCGATCACAGTCAGGGGGAAGGTTGTCCCTCTGTCATAGGGACTGACGTGTAGTCCCAGCAGATGGGAGGGAGGATGATGGGGTGAGGGGAGGGGCGAGCACAGAGCTCCTCCCACCTTCTCACCTTCAGCTGCAATTCTCTCTCCTCTTCAGCACTACTGCTGCAATCATGGACTACACGGAGATCGCCCGATCGGCAGCCGATAAGCTACTGTCCTACAGGAGGGATCCCAGCGGCTGGAAGCAATGCAAGAAATCTGTAAGTGTGTGTGTGTCGGAGGCAATGGAGGGACTGTATTTCCTATGGAGGATGGAGAGCAGATAGTACAGATCAGGGACAGACAGTAGACGTGTGTGGGTGTCATTGTTCTCTGTCTGTAGTGTGTATGGGGGACGATGTACTCCTGCCTCCCTCTGACAGCTCCTGTCATTGGCCGATCCCTGCCCCTGTCATCTGTCACAGTGTATCCGATCATTCATTAGAAGAGCACTACAGACACACAGACTGCTGACACTTCTCATTACATTGTATCGGTTGTCACTTCCTCTCCTTCCTTCCTTCATATTCTATGTGGATGTGCTGATATTGGGACAGCTGTGACCCTTTCACTGCCACAAACATTTATGTTTTGTTTTTTTGCTGAACAGTTACAGTATTACTAAACCCAGGACCCCGCATTCACTATATCTGGTCTCCCCGGACCCTGCATTCACTATATCTGGTCTCCCAGGACCCCGCATTCACTATATCTGGTCTCCCTGGACCCCGCATTCACTATATCCGCTCTCCCAGGACCCCGCATTCACTATATCCGGTCTCCCCTGACCCCGCATTCACTATATCCGGTCTCCCCGGACCCCGCATTCACTATATCCGGTCTCCCCAGACCCCGCATTCACTGTATCCGGTCTCCCCGGTACCCGCATTCACTGTATCCGCTCTCCACGGACCCCGCATTCACTATAGCTGCTCTCCCCGGACCCTGCATTCACTATATCCGGTCTCCACGGACCCCGCATTTCACTATATCTGCTCTCCCCGGACCCCGCATTCACTATATCCAGTCTCCCCGGACCCCACATTCACTATATCTGGTCTTCCCAGGACCCCGCATTCACTATATCTGGTCTCCCCGAACCCCGCATTCACTATATCTGGTCTCCCAGGACCCCGCATTCACTATATCTGGTCTCCCAGGACCCCGCATTCACTATATCTGGCCCCCCACAGTACACACAAATATAGTAAATATAAACTGCTAAATACCTTTTCTCATCAGCAGTTATTTATTTTATTTATTTCAGGTACTTATATAGTGCCATCAATTTATGCAGCACTTTACATCTATATTGTACATTTACATCAGTCCCTAACCCTCAAGGGGTGTACAATCTAAGGTCCCTAAGTTGCATTCATACATACACATACTAGGGACAATTTAGACAGGAGCCAATTAACCTACCGGCATGTCTTTGGAGTGTGGGAGGAAACCGGAGTACCCAGGGGAAACCCATGCAGGCACAGGGAGAACATGCAAGCTCCAGGCAGGTGGTGCTGTGGCTGGGATTTGAACCAACGACTCTAGTACTGCCAGGTGGAAGTGCTAACCATTTAGCCACTGTGCTGCCCATAGTTAGAGCAGTCTTGTGACTTCTATTAGTGTTCAGCAGAGCACATGTTAAAGCTTGTAAGAGGAGTTTTCTTTCTGCTTTAGGAGGATGCAGAACTCCTGACCTCTGTCTGGACAGTGCTGATTGGCCCTGTGCTGATCACTTTATTTTATTTCAGGTACTAATATAGCACCATCAATTTATGCAACGCTTTAAATATATATTGTACATTCCCATCAGTCCCTAACCCTCAAGGGGCGTACAATCTAATGGTCCCTAACTCACATTCATACATACACAGGCCAGTTTATAGAGGAGCATGTCTTTGGGAGGAAACCAGACTACACGGAGGAAACTAATGCAGTCACAGAGAGAACATGCAAACTCCAGGCAGGTGGTGCTGTGGTTGGGATTTAAACCAACAACCCTAGTACTGCCAGGCAGAAGTGCTAACCATTTAGCCACTGTGCTGCATACATGCACCCTCCAAGAAGAAAAAAAAAAACTCTCTAGCAATACACAGTAAACTGAGCATGTGCAGAGTGTCTCCCAGGGCTCTGTATTATCAGCAGATGGATTGGGGAGTGTGGAAGAAGGGGAGGATCAGAGAAGACAGGATCAAACAGCCTTTTTACACAATGCAGAGGATTAACCCTTTAGGTTCCACAGTGAGTACAACAAGCACGTGTTACTGCATATGCATTTTAATATTATTGTTGTGGGTTTAGCAACACTTTTTAAAAAATCCTTTTAATCCCAACAATTAATGAAAACCTTCAAAAACCAAAATATATTTTGAAGCAGAGACCCTGGAGATTAAAACGGTAATTTTTGTCACATGATATTGGCACAATGGTTTATTGAGTGTCTAATTTTCAGTTTAAAAATGCAGTAAAGTTCATTTAAGGGCACACAAAAATGCAATATATTTTTGGATTTTTTAAAAATATAAAATACAACATTGTGGCAAGTAAATACATTCTTTACATGACATGCGCATTGTACAGGGGGGCTCAATTTTGTTTGGGAGGAAAGTGGTTGTACAGGCTCAAGAATGCAGGAGGGTAAAAAACCTTCTGTGTGTAACCCCCCCCCCCCCCCCCAGCCCCTCCAGTACGTAGTCGAGCCCCATGACAATCCAGCAATGTGTAGAAAAGCCTCAGTTCTCTGGGGACTCTCCCTCCTTATTGGCTGAGATAGCAGTGGGAGCCGTTGTCTCCCGTTGCTGTCAATCACAGCCAGTGAGCCAATGAGGAGAGAGAGGGGGTGGGACCGAGCCGTGGCTCTGTGTGTGAATGGACACGCAGAGGAGCTGCTCAGGAGGAAGTCTGATTGGGTGCCCCCACAGCAAGCTGCTTGCTCTGGGTGCATTTAGCTGGAGGGAGAGGCCAGGAGTGCCGGCAGGGGACCTGAGAAGAAAAGGGTCCCTGCTGCTCTGTACAAACCCATTGCACACAGCAGGTAAGCATATCATATTTGTTTTTTTTTTCAAGATTTACTTTAATATCACTTTAAGTGCTTGAGTAACTAATTTTTTTACATGTTCCCCAATGAAACTTTAAGCTTCAGTGGCCAGGGAAAGTGAAAGTGAAACTGTCATTTCTGGGTTTTTACTCGATAGGAGAGATCGGCAAACAGTCAGTCACTGGTCTCCCTCCCCTGTACCCAGTGACACCTGCCATGGGGTTCTCAGGCCCATAGGTGGGATGTTGCACAGGGGGCACTTCCGGAGGTCTGTGAAAGTGATCAGGTGACTGTAGGGAGGCCTAATCATTTTCAATTGAAAGCTGACAGCTTGTGAGTTGTAGGAACACGCTGTGGCAGCCAGCAGTGTGTGTGAAACCTGTTTCTGCCACCAATGTATGACATATGTTGTGGCAGTAAAAGGGTTAAAGCCCTACTCTGTCAGCCTCCATAAGGCTGTTTGGAAATCAAAATTTCTGGGAGTAAAAAAATAACTCCGTCCCCTGCCATTCATTGGGGATCCTTCTTCCAGCCCCCATGTACAGAACTTGAGAAGGAACCACAGCAGTCAATGAGGGAAACAGGATTCTGACACTCCTGGAAGTGTCATATAAAGCACTGTGAATGATTCTGGCTTTGATCACGCATATGTGTATTTTCTGCACTGAATGCAGATTCATGCTGGCAGAGCTGGAAGATCCTACATAAAACCAATTCTTAAATTACCCGTACAGCATTTAGACACATACAGGGGCGGACTGACCATTGGGGAACTCGGGCACTGCCCGAGGGCCCGAGGTCAGTAGGGGGCCCCATGAGATGTCCCTGGTACCTTTCATAGGCTTTTTTAGGTGGGATTTGAGTGGGGGCGAGGACACGGGCCCCATGATCCCCTATTGCCCGGGGGCCCCATGAGTTGTCAGTCCGCCCCTGGACACATACAATTCTTCTAATGGCTTTATGTGTGTGTGTATGTACATATTACATTCAGTTACACATGCATACAATCTGCAGTTACGTACAGCCTTTTTTGTGTGCCTCTGAGGCCACGTTCACATTTGCATTTTGTCATCCCGGTACCATTATTTAGAGCCGGTGGTCATCTCTCTTGTAAAAGCAATTGGAATGACTAAGTTGCTGCTTGATTGCTTTTACAAGCAGCAGGAGGGGATGCCCCCCTTCCCATTGCCTTCCACGGCTCTCTTGGGCTCTCCCATCTCACCTGGAGATCCAATTGACCAGCCGGCGCGTTTGCCAGATGGCTGGACAGCCACACAAAGCCGAGATCGGTTTTGATCAGCTCTTCGTTATAGTAACCTGGAAGCGATAATCTAACATCACTTCCAGTTCTCTCACCACTAAACGGCTCCATTTTTAAAAATTCTACAGCATCCAGAAACATCAATCCTAGCGTTTTGAATGCTTTTAAGTGCAGATGAGTGATTTGGGGTCTTATAGTCCCCAGATCTCTCCATAAAAAGTTTCTGTCACATTCCTATTGCTGTCACAAGAGATGTTTACCTTCCTTGTGACAGCAATAAAAGTGATAAAAAAAATAAGTAAAGCAATAATGTGAAAAAAAACAAAATGTAACCACTTGTTTTTCACAACTTGAATGACAATTGCACGGTCGTGCAACACTGTACCCATATGAAATTTTTATAATTTTTTTTTCACACAAGTAGAGATTTCTTTTGGTGGTATTTAATCACCACTAGGCATTTTATTTTTTGCACTATAAACAAAAAAAGGGCAAAAAAAAAAGTTTTTCTTTGTTTCTATTATAAAATTTTGCAAACAGGTAATTTTTCTACTTATAAATAAATAATTTGCGCTAGTAAATGTGTATAAAAAGAAATCATCAAATCATAAGTCCAGAAAAAAATATATATATGCCAATACCACAAAAAAAATTAAAAAAACTTTTAAGTGCAAAAAACTTTTGTGCAAAAAAAGTGTCTAAATATGAAAAATTTTCACCAAAAAACCTTGATAATATAATGGCAGATCATCCATAAATATATCTTCAGAAACGGTAACTCTGCAACACATCGATCCTCATCGATCGAAATAAACAGGATGAAAAACTTTGTAGTTAATCGAAAATCCACTTCTCCAATAGATAAAGGACCACCTTCAAACGTATCCATGGGGGGAAATGCCAAGCCAATGCCAAGCCAGGCT